GCCGGAGTGCAGCACCCCCAAACAGGGTGTGTAAACCCACTGCGGTTTCCAAGGTCGATTGCGTGCACGTCCAGTGCGGGCTGGCATAGGATGTTAGAACATGATAACATGATTTTTGTACATGAGATGCTTACACGGAAACTTGTGTGACGCATGCCTATCAGGAAGCTAACGCTAGAGGGTGTCGTACTCTCTCGCACCTGGTCGACGAGTAAGCTGTCGGGTCGGCACTGTCAGAGGCTCAGTTTTGGCGACATCGTGGAGCTCAGTATTGGAAGGATGTCTCAAACGAAACGGGCCCGACAACCTCTCGCACACGTTCTGACAAGTCCACGTGACACTCGCTTCCCGTTAGGTTCCCTTCCTTCTCCCTCCTCCTCCTGCTCCTTCTCCTCCTCCCACTCCTCCTGCCTGCTCCCTCATCCACATCCTCCTCCTCCTCCCTTCCATCTCCTCCTCCTTCTCCTCCTCCTCCTCCTCCTTCTCCACCTCATCTTCATCCCGAACGGCATCTCGGAGCCCAGAGTTGCGAGGATGTCTCCAGCGTAACGGGCTGGACCACCTCGCGCGCGGCATCTCGGACCCCAGAATTGCGACGATGTCTCGGGCGAAACGTGCTGCGAGGAAGTCTCAGGCGAAACGGGCCGGACCACCTCGAGCGCGGCGTCTCAGAGCTCCGAGTTGCGGGGGCCTCCTGGGGCCTCCTGGGGTCTCCTGGGGACCTCCTGGGGCTTCCTGGGCCTCCTGTGGCCTCCTAGACCCCACCTGGGGCTTCCTGAAGCCTCGTGGGGCTCCCAAGGGGGGATATCTAACATGTGGCCGTCTGGGCCGCCCCAAATGGTGGGGGGCCACAAGAGCAAGAAAACTCCGCCGACCCCTTGGGGATCATCGGCGTGTGAGATGCTTCCCCCTCCCCAAACCCCTCCCCCGGGAGCCCGGTCCGGTCGATTTGGAGGGGGGGGGGGGGTCCGGGACGAGCGCTCCACGGGGCTTTTCCTGGCCCAAGAGGGCTTCAAGACGGGCCACGAAGCCCCCAAGAGGCCTCCAAGACGGCCCACGAAGGCTCCGAGACGCCAAACGACCGTTCCAAGACGCCCAAGATGGCCCCAAGACGGGCCAAGAGGTCTCCAAGACGGCCCCCGAGGTCCCAAACAAGCCTCCCAAGAGGGCCCAAGAGTCTAAAATTGTTGATTTTCCATAGTGTTTTTCGATGTTTTTTGCTTTTCCGCCTTTTCGGCTTCCCGACGCTCCAAGACGGCCAAAGAGGCCCCAAAGACAGCCCCAAGATGGCCCAAGAGGCCCCCAAGACGGCCTCCAGACGGCCCAAGACGGCCCCAACACGGCCCAAGAGGTCCCCAAGACGGCCCAAGAGGGCTCCAAGACGGCACCACGAGGGGCCCAAGAGGGCGACCAAACATGTTGAAACTCTAGCTTTCTGCCCCCAGGAGCCCCAGGGGGCCCCAAGAGTGCCCCAAGAGGCCCCCAGAGGCCCTCACGAGGCCGCCCAGACGCCCCAAGGAACCCCCAAGAAGCACCCCAGAGGCTCCGAAACGGCCCCCGAGTGGCTCCAAAACTCGCAGTGTCGCTGTCCGCTCGGACCTCCCCGCGGAACTGCCCGAGACCCTCTGGCGGTGGCGGCGAACAGACACCAAACAAATATCACTCGCCTTTTCACCCCTTCGCAGCTTCTACTACCCCCAGATTGGCATAAACAAGGGGTCGGCGGTGTGGCGTAAGCCTAAGAATCAACGAATCGACACCAGATGTGTATTGACTTGACACGTTCTGATAGGGGGCCTCCTGGGGCCTCCTGGGAGCCTCCTGGGAATCTCCTGGGGACCCCTGGGGCCTGTCCTGGGCGTCCTGCGGCCTCCTGGAGCTCTCTGGGGCCTCCTGGGCTCCCGGGGTCCCCGGGGGGATATGTAACATGTGGTTTTCTGGGCCCCCAGGCTGGACTCGACCACCTCTTGCGCGGCATCTGAAAGCTCAGAAATGCGAGAATGTCTTGCGCGAAACGGACCGGACCACCTTGCGCACGGCATCTCAGAGCTCAGAGTTGCGCGTATGTCTCAGGCGAGACGGGCCGGACCACCTCGCGCATGGCATCTCAGAGCTCAGAGTTGCGAGGATGTCTGAGGCGAAACGGGCTGGACCACGTCGCGCGCGGCGTCTCCGAGGTCAGAGTTGCGGGGATGTCTCAGGCGAAATGGGCTGGATCACCTCTCGCGCGGCATCAGAGAGCGCAGACTTGCGAGGATGTCTTATGCGAAACGGGCCAGACCACCTCGCGCGCGGCATCTCAGAGCTCAGAGTTTCGAGGACGTCTCAAACGAAACGGGCCGGACCACCTCTCGCGCGGCATCTCGGAATGTAAAAGTGCGAGGATGTCTCAAGTGAAACGGGCCGGACCACCTCTCGCGCGGCATCTGGGAGCTGAGAGTTTGGAGAATGTCTCAAGCGAAACGGGCCGGACGACCTCTCGCGCGGCATCAGAGAGCGCAGAGTTGCGAGGATGTCTCACGCAAAACGGGCCGGACCACCTCGCGCACGGCATATCAGGGCTCAGAGTTTGGAGGATGTCTCAGGCGAAACGGGCTGGACCATCTTTTGCGCGGCATCTCGGAGCCCAGGGTTTCGAGGATGTCTGAGGCGAAATGAGCTGGACCACCTCTCGCGCGGCATCTGGGAGCTCAGAGTTTGGAGGATGTCTCAGGCGAAACGGGCCTGACCACCTCTCGCGCGGCATCTGGGAGCTCAGAATTTTGAAGATGTCTCAAGCGAAACGGGCCTGACCACCTCTCGCGCGGCATCTGGGAGCTAAGAGTTTGGAGGATGTCTCAGGCGAAACGGGCCTGACCACCTCTCGCGCGGCATCTGGGAGCTCAGAATTTTCAGGATGTCTCAAGTGAAACGGGCTGGACCACCTCTCGCGCGGCATCTGGGAGCTCAGAGTTTGGAGGATGTCTCAGGCGAAACGCTTAATCCCGGAGAACTCTGAAACGAGAGTTGCGAGGATGTCTCAGGCGAAACGGCCCGGACCACCATATTTTTTTGACGACGTCTCAGCTTTGAATTCCCTCGGCCGGAGTTAGCTTCGATCACAACAGCACCCCGTTCAGCAAGGTGGTCGGGGAAAGATTCACCCCAAATTGTCGAAAATAGTAACAAATATGATCCCCAGACGATGTTTTGACTATTTTTGAATATTCCTCCTGTAAAGGGACAGGCCCGACTTCAGGCTACTTGGGGCCTGGCGGCCGCGGTCTGGCATGGGAGCTCTCCTCGCAGGCGGGCAGGGAGCTCTCCTCACAAAATCCAACAGCCCCAGCCTGTCGGGTGGGACACACGCCCTCGGAAGCCTGCGCGGATTTCTTGAACCTGCGCCGGACCCCTGGGGGCGGCGTCTCCGGCGCACCCGGCGCGGCAGGGACGAGGGTCTAGCGCCGCCCCCAAGGAAATCCGCACGGATCTCCGCAGGAGCATGCGCATGCAGTGTTCTGTCTCCTTCGAGCATCGACCCAGGACCCCCTCGAGCTTCCAGGTTCGAGGTCTTTCGGCTCCTCTATCTTTCCGGTCTCCACGCCTCTCGTCGCCACGGCTGGCTTCGCCTCAAACTTCTGGGCGGAACGCGCCCCAAGAGGGGCCCGGGGGCCGACTGTGGACATCCTGGCCCCAGGCCCCATCGCGCTGTGAAAGAGCCACGGCTGCTTGCCAGGCCACGGGGCCGTCGGACAACGGCTCTGGAGGAGAAGCTGGTTCCGAGGAGGTGGTCGAGGCCTCCAGCCAGGGGTCCACACATCGTGAGACATAAAAGAGACACGATGTCGGGCATGACGGAGGGAGGAAGGAGGAGGACCAGGGATCAAGGATCACGTTTTGAGGTTGGAGCTGGGAGGTATTTGAACGCTTGGGCGTGTCCGGGGCATCCCAGGGTCGAGGTCTAAGAGGGTTGGTTGGAGACGTTGGACATGTTGGCGATGCCTGAAGCTACTGGAGGATCGACGCTCTAGGCTGGAGGCGTTTGGATGCTTCAGGTCCTCTTGGGGCGTGCTGGAGCGTGCTAGCCGCCGCGGCTGACCCCCCTTGAAATCCAAAGGCAACCAATGTCCCAATCCCTTCCATGTATACACGAGCGCGTTCCACTACTCGCAAGGTAACTACTTGCAAATGGCCTGGATCCGCCGCGGGGGATCTACGATAAATCTCATCGAAATAAGCATATGCTTTTTGGGACGTCTGCCAGTGGGTACTTGCGCGTTTGGTGAATGTAAGCCTTTAGGACAGCCTGCAGGACATACGGCTGGGAACTTTTGCTCAGCCTATCGCGGCGGCGGTTCCAGCGACTCGCTTTGCCCGGCGCACTGACAGCGCGTCGCTCCGCTCCGCTTGGCGGGAGGCTGCGAAAGGCTCGGGCTGTTGACGCTTGGGACTGGGGATGCCGATAGCGCGTCCTGCCGGAGCGCGGTGGGCCAGAGCCGGCAGCGCGGCACGCAGAGCCAAAAGTCCTGAACGCAGCCAGCTCTGCTGCAGAACGCTTTGGGCCTGCCGTGGCCTGCGTCGGCTTCGGCTCCTGGACTGATCCGCTCTGGTCCGAGGAGGAGGAGGAGGAGGAGGAGGAGGAGGACGAGGAGGAGGAGGAGGGGGCAGGGGAGGGAGAGGGGGAGGAGGAGGAGGGAGGAGGGCAGGGGAGGGAGAGGGGGAGGAGGAGGAGGAGGAGGAGGAGGAGGAGGAGGAGGAGGAGGAGGAGGAGGAGGAGGTGGAGGAGGAGGAGGAGGAGTCTCCGGAGGACGAGGCAGGAGCCGAGATCCCTGGCGCCGCGAGAGCATGCTTCAGCTCGGGTTCCCCGGGAGCCCAGCTTTCTTCGCATCCAGGGGTGCCCCTGGCGCCCTTGTGACCCTCTCTGACCCTGCTGCGCCCCGACCTCGACCCCGAGGGGCCACGTCACGAGGGGGGACCGACCCAGGGGGGATACCTCGACCTGCGGCGATGCCTCGATGGGTCGGCGAACGGCCACCGACAGCGAAACCAGACGTTCCTGGGCGGGGGAGCGGAGGCCGCCTGGCCCCCACCGGCAACGCCTGGGCGATCAGGGCGCGATGCGTCCCGCCCTGAACCGATCCCCGCCCCACAACGCTGCCCCCGAAGGGGTAGCCTTGGCGTCCTGATTTTTGCTGTTGCCGCTCGCAGGTGGGCGACTGACGGTCCCGTTTCAGATGGGGGCGAAGACGCGCCGCTGGCAGACTGTGGTGTCAGGTCAACGCGTGTGAGAACAGCAGAGCAACCATCGAGCCCCAAGAGATTACAGTGCGGCTGCTGTGTGGTGCTGGCAGTCCCGAACGGACTCCGCCTGCCCCTGGGCGTGTCTGGTGCACGCTGGAACGCAGCACCTCATTTCACACGAGCAGCCCATGGGTAAGCCCCGACAACTAAGACACACGGCAGAGGGAGGAGGCACACGACCGGATCGCATTCGCCAGGAGCCCCACGAGCTCTCGGGCCGCCACTGGCCTGGCGAACTCGGCCGCGACTCTCCGTCGGTCCGCCAGGCGCCGGCGCCCGCGCGAGCGTGACCTGTCGGCCTCCTCTCTTCTCGTTCCCCCAGCTCTGTCAGCGCAGCATTGGCCGCAAGGGCAGCGGCGCCACCGCTGTTAAGTGGCACGAATTCGGATGTGAAGGCCGCCTTCAGCCGCCCTCACACTGTAAGAAGGACTGGGCGTTCCGGGCCCGCGGAATCGCCAGGCTCTTTGTTCAGGGTAGTCTCCGCGGTCCTGTAACGCGTGCTAGATATGCGCCCCAGCAACGCCGCGGTGTGCAATATTCCTTGGCCCTTGAATAGGCCCTTGCCTTCGTCAAACAGAACCCATTTCATTGCTTCGTTGAATGCGACAGGATCTGCAATATGTCGCAGAATCATTTCTTTATCCTCGGGTCGAGAGGCCGACATACTTCGCACATCGAGCTGCTCTACCACATCACGACGGCGTGCCAAAACTTCAGCAGAGTGCACGATGAGGGAAGCATTCATGCATTGCTCGTGCGCCATGTAGATCTCCGCGATGCACCAACTTCTCGTAAATAGCTGGAACTCGCGGTCGCACGCGATCACCTGCTTAAAACTAGCGTTGGCGCCGGCGAGAAGTATCATCATGGCGTCGAACTTGTTCATCTCGCAAACTATACTTTCACCATTGCCATTGCGAGGCGAAGAATCATTGAGCCACTTGGGGTGGCTGCAGGTGCAGACTGGGTGCCCTGGACAAGACACACCACCAGTGCTCCCCTGTGGCACGTTCGGTATGTGACCGCAGATCGACGCGTGCTGGTTCACACTTGCCACGCACACCCAGTAGGTCATCTCTAGTCTGCCGCTCTTCTCCAGTTCTCCGATTAAGCATCCTATCATGCCTGGCTTCAGTCTGGGCAGAATTGCCTCATACGTGGCTTGGTCCAGAGCGTCTGCCACGATGGCGGCTACGAGGTCTGCGAACTTGTTGCGCCAAGTGTGCGTGACCATGCGCTGCGCCAGTGTGGGCCGCCCTTCCATGAGCTTCGTGGCCAGCGCACACGGCCCGAACGTTGGGTCGGCAGCGGTGAAAGGAATAATGGCCTGGCGGGCCACGTCCTCCGTTGAGTGGACATCGGGATCAAAGTGCGGCATGTACCTCACACCCAGGCCCATGTAGAAGTCCAGGAGCGCTCCGAGGGTGATTCCCCTGTTGGCCAGCTCGGCAACCTTACGGTCCCACTCGGACTCGAAGAGCTGCGGCAGCCGCGGCTCCGTCTGCCACTGCGTCTGGCGGCTGGCCCTGCGACCCCAAAGGGTTGGCCTGGGCACAAGCCCCCAGTAGCTGAGGACCAGGCAGGAGTTGATAACCATATCTGCACCGAAGAAAATGGACTTAACAATCTGGAAGGTTGGCGTTGCATCGCCAGGAAACCATGACCATTCCAGCGCAGCAAGAGTCTCCAGAGTGACAGCTACGAGATCGAAGACGAACGCTAGTGCTTGTGCAATGAGTTGTCTCTTCACGGAACTTACGACGCACTGGGCTTCCATTCGCCGCCGCCCAGAAGACGTCTTCACGACTCCCTCAGCTACCCGAAGCTGGCCCATGAACAGATATAGCGAAAACCACATACTTACAGCCGTGAGTACAAAATTCAAGACGACGCACAGAGCTGTCATGGTCGACAAATCCTGGCTGCCTGGGCTCCGAACCTCGCGCACGACAGAAACGCAGAAACACACCAAGACGATCAGCACTTGCAACCGGAAGATGTCGAATATGTTGTGCTCCTCATGCCTCTTCTCTGGAAACGCGCCCTGCACTGCCATGTGCCTCATCCTGATCAGGAACGTCAGGTATGCGAACACGCTGGCTGTCAGCACCGAGCGTACCTGCCACAGCGGGCTGCAGTCTCTCTCTATGCTGGCGTCGTCCGAATCGGCGCACCACTTACAGCTGCGTTCGAAGCACCAGGCGACCCCTTGCAGCCAATTCAGCAGAAGCCAACACCGCACGTGAATGATGAACTGAGTTCGCGTCCGCACACTGCGCACGGCGAAGCACGCGATCACGGCCACAAGGAATGCAGAGATAGTCACGGCCGCCATCCTGTACTTGTATGTGTTCCCCAGGGCGATCCATTGCGGATTGCCTCGGAGATAATATGAACCAGCGAGTGTTGCACTGCACGTGTTCGCACCATCCAAATCTAACGTACCAGAAAAATCTGCATACCCGTGCACCCCATAGCCCTTGGCTATCGGGGCAGAAAGCGGAAGCACTGTAAGACCAAGCATCACACCTCGCACTGTGAAGATCGCGAGTTTGGCAGGCAGCCTGTGCTGCGCGGCAATCCTAGTATCGGAGTGCGCAGTGGACAAGCTTTTGATCATCCATGGTGCCTTTTGCCCTGCTGCGCTAGAGGTACCTGATGACGACGGCGAAGTAGTTGTTGTCCACGACGACGGCGGGCACAAGGATCCCCCCGAGGAACCATTCACATCAACATCGCATGGTGGATCATTCGAGGGCATGGCGGGCAACGTGCACCTGAGCCTTGAGCCAAAATGGCTACGGAGGGTACCCTTGGCATCCCTGGGATCCCTACAGGATCCTGTTCGACTGGCCCATGGCTAGGGGCCATCGGTTCGGATCGGCCAGAAGCCCCCCCCGACCCCCGACGCCGTGACGCTTTTCACAACGCTCGGGAGCGGCCAAGAGGGGGGTGTCCAAGAGCGGGGGGGTGCAAATCATGACAGGCGGCATGTGCGCGGCCCAGCGCGGGGGCCAGGGACGTAACGAGATAAGCAGAGGCACCATGAAACCTGGGGAAATATCCTGGCCCCCGCCCTGATATCCACCCCCCCATAGTCACGTCATCACCCCCCTCTTCGCCGCCCCCGAAGCGCGGACCCCCAGAGGTCTCGAGCCCTTCCCGAGCACCACATTCGGCGGTGGACAAACCTCCCTTTAGTAGACCTCCCCTTAGAGAAAACGGCCTGGGACCGAAACCGACGGACCTGGACCCGCAAAAATGACGGCAGCAACGCCCTCTCGCGAACCAAAAACGGCCAATTCCTTAATCGACGTGTCAGGGTAGGAGGTCTGTCCACCTCCGACGCATCTTCATATCGAGCCTGTGCCGGGGACCGGCGCGGGTCCCCAAAGGCCGACCAAGCCTGAGCCTACCGCACCCTGCCGTTCCCCGTGGCTTCCAGGCCACAGCTCGGCTCTCAGCGCGGCTGCTCGGGACGAGACGCGCACCCCCCGGAACGGCCTCGGCGAGGCGCAGCCGCTGGAACGCATCCCGAGGCTGGGAAATTCGCTGAGAACCGACGAACACGTCCGCAAAATGGTGCCCTTCGCATCCTCAGCATCCTGTCTGGCTGCACCTGCACCCCGACTTCGATCCAGCCCTTCTCCATGGCCCCGGCGGCGGCGCCGGCGTACCGAGCAGGTTGGCGGCGTTCGCGTCCGCCCCGGCGCTCAGGAGCAGCTCTGCCTCCGCTGGAGCAGTCGATTGCGCCGGGGGCTGGGGATACACACATCTATGTATATATGTATATAGATCGATATATACATGTAGGTATATACCTATAACTACATACACACATGCATGCATGCATGCATGCATAGATACATGCACGCATGTGTATACATAACATACGCATTCAACTATACATGCGTATGTACACATTTACATACATGCGCACATTCATACACACATACTGTCATACACATGTGCAGAGGTACGTGCATACATACATACATACATACGTACATACATACATACATACATACATACATATATACATACATACATGCATGCATGCATGTATGCATGCATACATGTATGCAAGCATGCATGCATGCATACATACATGCAGATACACGGATACAAGACATCCAGGCGTGTATGCGCACATGAATACATCTATATACACAGATACACAGGTATGCATACATGCAGATACCCGCATACATACATGCATGCACATACACACATACATACAGTAATACATACATCCACACATGCACACCTACATCCATGCATACATACATACATACATACATACATACACACATACATACCTATATACATACGTACATGGATACATACACATACGCATTCCAATATGCACACCTCCGTACGTACATATATACGCACATATAGACATATAGGCATACATGCAGGCATGCATACATACAGACTTACACACATGCGTACATACACAAATGCTGGCATACATACATGCATCCAGCCACGCAAACCTACATACATACATGTACACACATAACGATGTGCATACATACATGCATGTATGCATACACACTTACGCATCCATATTCGAGTCACGCGCGCGCTCCGCGCGCGCGTTTAGATTATGGCGCACTCCAAGTCAACTTACCAGACTGGACGAGGATGGACATCGTCCCGCAAGAACCACCGTCTGGGAGCGTACTCTCTGATGGACACCTGAAGAGTAGTTGAATAAGCAGGCCGCAAAAGATCCTGCTGCTCTGCGCAGGTACACCGAGCAGCTACCCGAAGGTAACCTTCGGGAGGCTTTGGGAGGCTCGCGGCCTGTGGACCGTCTTTCGCCGTGGCCCCTCGGACTATCTCGGAGCTGTTTGGGAGGTCCCTTGGAAACCTTGGGGCCTATGGTATGGGGCAACTCAAACCATCCAAGGGCTACCGAGTTTAATCGAAGCCGTATCGGGCGCGGCCTCAGGGATTCCTTAGGTCGTACTGTGCCTTCCTGGGAAGCGACGTCCAGCACGGCTTCGAGCCATAGGTATGCGTGCAGGGCGACTCCCTTCTGATGGCTTCTGGAAAGCGTCCAGGAAGGCCCCAGCAAAGCGCGCAGGGTAGCCACGTGGAGGACCCAGGGCAGCCTATGGGGGGACGCCCGAGAACTCGTAACAGCCTGGGAAAGCCATGCCGGGAGTCTCTCTGGATGCCTTTGGGCGACGTGCTTGCAAGGCTCTTGGGGGGTTCTGGGGTGGGGTCTCTGCGGATTTTCGTGGAGGTCTCCTGGTTGTCTCTTGGGACTCCTTGTGCGCGCCTCGGGGGCCTCCCCGGGGCTCTTGGCGTCTGGGCTCGAATGGGGTCGGCCTGAAAACACTGAAAACATGCAATTCAGCATTCACTTTTTTCAAGCTGGGCCGCCCTACCACTCAGCCGGGCAGGATGCTGGGTGAGGGCGGCGGAGGGAGGAAGGAGTAAAGGAGAGATGAGGATGAGGGAGGGAAGAGACTGAAACGCATGAGGGAGACGGAGAGAGGAAGGCGTGAAGGAGAGACGAGAAAAAGGGAGGAGGGAAAATGACGCAGCGGGGAGGAGGAAGGAGAGGAATAATAATAATAATACCAATTATACGAAGAAGAAAACATATGTGAAACGGGAGACGGAAGAGAACCAAGAGCAGGAGAGAGAGAGAGAGAGAGAGAAAAAAGAAAAGAAAGAGAACGGACAACGAAGGATGGGGGAAACGGAAATGCACTCTGGGGCACGCCAAAACCTGGGCCAGGAGGGAACGGAGGGAGATCGGCGAACTTCAAAAAAGAATGTGAGGGAATTCCCTTGTTTTCAAGTTGCCTCTGGAGGTCCCTCAAGGCACTCAAGATCGCCCAACGAGGCCTCCAGGAGTCCCCCAAGAGTTCTGGGGAAACTCTCGAGAGGCCAACATTATTGCAACAACTATGGACAAGAACCGCTAAACCGACAGCGGCGAAGGGGCCGCTAGACCGACACGCAGGCCCAGACGACGGGCGCGAACGAGGCGGCGACGGCGACCACGGAGCTGCCAGACCGACGCACAGGCCTAGTCCCAATGGACATGGGAGATAAGAACTCCTAAGTGCAAGCGCTGCTTGCGGAGTATGTAACCATGTATATATACACAAACATACTCATACATCTATGCGCATACATGCTCATATGCACATGTGGTATGGGATATGCATGCGCACGCAACAGCACACGCGTCCCGCAACATTCCATGATCCGTTTCTTCGCTCTGGACGGCTCAGTACGATATGCGTTCGCCAGGGCGAGACATCGCCGTCTGCAAAGGGGGGTCGGAAACGCTGAGGGCCAGTCAATCTCGGTGCTCGCGTCCTCCGCCGTCTCCGCCGCCTGAGCGCTGCAGAGGTGCAGAAGGGTGTTCCCGTCCTCGTCTGCACCTGAGCTGGCGGCGTGCGCATGGCAACGGGGTTGACAAAAGATGCCGCTAGATCTCCGACAACATGATTTTTCAATCAGGGCATTTTTCCTCCATGCGGCCCCTGAGTGTCCCCTTTCGCGCCCCGGGACAATCAAAACAGAATCCAGGACGCAAGCCTGCGCACACCCAGGGAGAGGGTCGGGAGCTCTGGAGCCGCAGATGGCCTCTGGGCCGCCCTGGTGTGCGCCCCTTTCTTCCCATCTGCGCCAGGCAAGAACGTGAGGGCATGCCCTCGCTGTGGGGCGCCCCCGCTGCCAACCCATGCAGGGCTGCGCGCCAGACGGAGAGAACAGAAGAGAGCGGATGCTCGGCACGGCAGGCGCCTGTCGTGACGACGCCGCCGTTGGATTCTGACACCGCGCGAGTCGGCCAGCCTGGAACGATCCCGCCGTTCAGATGGCGCGGATCCTTCGATGCAGGCCGACCAGCGGCGTTCAACCTTGAACGCGCTCGACGGGGACGCCGCCGCTCAACCTTGAACAAGGACGCCGCTTCGTGCTGCGCGAAGCGCAAAGTGCGAATAGCTTCGCGCCCTCGCGCCGCCTCCCGGGGGAGAAGGGGAGGATGAGGAGGGATCGGAGCCGAACCGCGAAGCGCGAATAACTTCGCGCCCTCGAGGGCGCCCTTTTTGAAGGCGCTCGACGGGGACGCCGCCGCTCAGCCCGCCGACGCAGCTCTTCAGCGCGGGCGAGGCCCCCGAGGCGCGCCCCGACGGAGGGGCGGCGGGCGCCCGCGCGGGCGCCCGCCCGTCTTGCTTTTCGACCGGTCCCCCCCCCCTGCACGGGTGACGGGCCCCTCTCATTCCTCCTCCTCGTCCTCCTCCTCCTCCTCCTCCTCCTCCTCCTCCTCCTCACCCTTCTCTTTCTCCTTCTCCTCCTCCTCCCTCCTCCTCCTTTCCTCTTTCCTCCTTCCTCCTTCTCCTTCCCTTCCTCCTCCTCCTCCTCCTCCTCCTCCTCCTCCTCCTCCCCCTCCCTCCTCCCTCCTCCCTCCTCCCTCCTCCCTCCTCCCTCCCTCCTCCTCCCACCCTCCTCGCAACGTCCTCCCCTCGGCGCCGGCATCGCGTTGCTCACGCGAAGGGCGCAGGATGCTGCCAGCAAAGGGGGCCTGCACTCGCCCAGGGGGGCCGCGAGATGCTCGAGAGAGACGCGCTGTGCCGCTGCGGCCCCCTTCGGAAGTTCTGCGGCTGCCGAGGGCTGGGGCCGCTGGGCACTGCTGTTAGGTCGGGCCTGTCCCCCTATAGGGGGATTTTCGACGAACAATAAAACATACCCCAAAAATACTTCCCAATGGTCAAACAATATTCAAAAATACCCCAAACATACCCCAAAAATGCCCAACAAAAATGCCCCCAAATGGACTATGTTTGGAGTATGTTTGGACGATCTTTTATTTTTCGTCGAAGATCCCCCTGTAGGGGGACAGACCCGACTTCACACTATTTTCTCTTTCGTTTCAACAGGGGGCACGGTGAGCCCAGCCCCCGACTTTCTCGGAGTTTCGACGTGACCGGAGAATCGGCCTAACTAGAAACTGTACGATGTATGGTGTGCGTCTATCCTCGATGCAGGCCCAGGGGGATCGACATTCGGGTACTTCGGCAGGTCGTGGGTCTGGATGTACTCGGGCCCTGGGGCGGGGCGAAGATCCACATCCACCCTCCTGCCCACATCCCCGAAGACCGATCCGCCAGACGGTACAGTCGGGGCGTTGACCTAAGGAACCCTAAATAAGGAACGAGGCCCCTTTTTCCCATAAGTAAAACTTCGACTTCCTATCGAAGACATAAGGAAAACCTGAGGCAAGCTGTGAATCACTTAAGGAACGCGGAGCCCCTCCCCAACGAAAAGGGTTCCTTCTTCAGGGCCCCGACTGTAGCTTTGGACGTCCCACCACCTCTCCAGACATCCTCCGACAATTACCATCTTCTCGATCCGCGGCCCCGGGCGCCCCGACGCATTCCCCCGGGGGTCGTCCTGCGCCCCGGATCAACGTTTGACAACCCCGAAGCCCGAGAAGGCTCCATGGAGGCCGAAACGGAAGGAACACACTCCCATGAAAGACGCCAAATCGTCGGGATCTGGGTCGGGGTGTTCCTTGTGCTGCGTCTTCGGGGGGCCGTGTCTGTCCCGTCGCGCCGCGGTGCGAGTCGAATCCGTGTCGAATCCATGTCGAGCGCGTCGAGTCCGCGTCAAATCCACGTCGACTCCGCGTCGTATTCACACCGGTCACTCGGTGAATCGGCGCCGACAACGCGTCGGATATCAGAAAAGACAGACGAGGCCTCCCGAAGATTTCGGCACACCGCTCACACGGTTCGTGGCCCCATAGGGAGCTCCACCTAAGGTCTCAGTGGCCGTCTTTGCATGTGGTTCACCGCATGTTTCGGCACACCGCTCACAAATTTCGTGGCCCCATAGAGAGCTCCACCTAAGGCCCCAGTGTCCGTCCTCGCATGCGGTCCCCCGTCCATTTCGGCGGTTCCCCTCGCATGAGGCCCCCTCGACACGGGGAAACCAAAAGGCACCGATACCGTTGCTCCCCAAGCCTCGTGCGTTCTGACCAGAACTTCGGGGCGAATCCGGCCGGCCGCGGCGACGAGAGGGCCCCCCAGAAGGCCCAAGGTGGCGACACCGAGGCAAGAGCAGCGGTAGTTATAGATCCCTCGTCCCCCCCTGAAGAGAGGACGGCGTTGTATTAAGTCGGGCCTGTCCCTCTACAGGGGGACGATTTAAAAACAGTCAAAAAACAGTCTGGGGACAATTTTTTGGTATGTTTGGACCATTTGGGGGTATTTCTGGGGTGCTCTTTTTTATTTTTCGTCGAAAATCCCCCTGTAGGGGGACGCGCCCGAGTTAACTATAGATCCCTCGCCCCCCCCCTGCAGAGAGGACGGCGTTGCACAGAGCGGCCGAGGCCCCCCGCTGAGGCAGGCGCAGCCCTCCCCGATCCAGGCGGGGGCCGATAGGGGCCGGGCTCTCCCGGGCGGCTCCGGGCACGCCGGGGCGCCCCCCGGGGACGCCCCCATTGGGCCGCGCGGAGGCACTGCGCGCGCCGCGCCCCCCGCAGAGGCAGGTGCAGCCCTCCCCGATCGAGGCGGGGGCCGAGGGGCCGGGCTCTCCCCGGCGGCTCCGCGGGCCGAGGGGCCGAGGGGCCGGGCTCGCCCGGGCACGCCGGGGCGCCCCCCGGACGCCCCATGGGCCGCACGGAGGCACCGCGCGCGCCGCGCCCCCCCCGCCCCTTCCCTCAAGGCGGGCGCGTCCCCCTGCAGGGGGATGGTCGACGAAAAGTAAGAAAAAGTACCCCAGAAGTGCTCCCAAACGGTCAACAGATGCTGAGGAAAATAGTCCCCAGACTATGTGTTGGACTGGTTTGGAATAGTCCCCCTCCCTGTAGAGGGATGACAGGCCCGACTCGACCCTTGGTCGGGTGCGCCGGAGGGGGGGGCCACGGCGGGGGTCGGGCGATCGTTCTGGGAGCCAAGGGCCGGACCCGACCGCAAGAGAGCAGTGTCCGAGGACCTGGGTTCGGCCCCTCCCCCCTCGATCGGGTGCGCCGGAGAGGGGGGCCACGAGGAGGATCGGGTGCTCGAGTTCCTGGGATCTTCCTGGACCCTGGCATCCTCGCGTCTTGGAGTCTTTCGTCTTGCCAGTCCTGTCTCTCGTCTTGCTGGTCTTTCGTCTTGCCAGTCGGAGGTTCACTCTTGCTGGTCTGTTTCTAGTCTTGCACCTTCAGGTGCCCTCGCCGGGTCCCGAGAGGGCCAACAAAAAATCGACCCGGGAGGAAACTTTGGTCCCACGGCGGAGGTCCAGACGCTTCGGGGAGAGCCGCGTGGCGGAAGAAGCACGGCGCTGGATGTCTGGGGAGCCACTCGCTTCACTCGTGCGTCGATGCTGCGTCGAACGCCAGTCGTTTTGGATCGAAGCTGAGCCGAGCTAGAACAGAGCTATAGTCGAACTAGAGTCGAACAGATGCGTCGGCGGGCCCCAGGAATTTCCCCCAAACAAGCATGTAACAAGGTCTGCTTGCGTAACGTGGGACAGCCAGGGAACGCATTGAGGTGAGAGAAGACGAGGTAACGTATTGGGTGGGAAATGGCGACCCGAATCTCCGTCTTCTGTTTGGCTCTCGAGAGGACAACCAATCTGGGACCAAGATATGGGATACGCGACGGGAGGCGCCCATCCTCCATAGGGGTCAAACGCTGGCCCTGGGGAAGGGGTCGAGATTCCCAGAGGCCCGTCTCACGGAAGAACAACGACGTCGAAGGAGAGGAAACGGGCGGTACAGCAGAAGGGGGTGGGCGAATCCGAATCGGCTGCGTGCAGCTCGTGCTGGAAGCGACAACTCGCGACGGAAGGGACAACGCGACGAGGCACATCGCCTCGCGGCGGGGCCAAAATGGGCTGGATCTGGCATGTTGCGTACCCCCACCTATCCCCATCCCTGCTCGCTCCCCGCTCTTGGACGAAACCCGGGCCCTTGAGCAGAACGCACGCGCCGATTCAGGACCCTCCGACCCTGGCGCGCCCCTCCCCAACAACAAAAAATGAGCACGACGGAATGTTTCGGGCCCCCGTTGGCCTCGCTACTGCCCGCCTCTATACAGTCCCGTTCTGGGAGAGCTGCAGACCAAAGAGATGGCGGCAATCTTGGAAGGGCGATGCTCACCTCCGCCGTGTTTCGCTGACGGAGCCGCCCTCGGCTTCCGTGCACGGGCTTCCGCCGGCCTTCCGCGGCGTCCTGTCGAAGAGCAGATGGCGACCTTCCGGCCCATCGAAGACGGGGCCCGGCCTGTAGCACGCCCGAGCCCTGACTGGGCCCCAAGGCCGACCCGAAAAGACCCAGGATGAACAGCCGATCCCGTGGAAGGAGTCGCGACCTCGAAGGGTCCACGCGTGTCACCCCTGCCTCCGGCCTCGCCGACTCGCCGCCCCCGTCAGGAGGCAGGAGAGCGACGAGGTCTCCAGGCCTCCTCGCGCGAGCCTCGCGGCGGCATGGAACCCACACGGTGCTCATTCGATGTGCGACTTCGAGTGATGGGGTCGGCAGCCCAAGTGGCCCTCGTCGTGGGCAAATCACGACGGCGTCATTAAACAATGTCCTCCCTCCTCATGCCTCGCGCTTCCCTTCCTTTGAGTAGGGCTGGGGGTCAGGTCTGCAGAACACCCCAAACGGACGTCAAAAACGCAACCAACCTGTTCGGTCAAGCTGAGACTGATGCACCACACCTTGCGTCAAACCAAAACCTTGGACATAAACGAATGGTTGGATGTTGCACATCTTCGTCGGCTTAACCGGCGAGGCGCTTGACCACCTTGACGTCCTTTTTTGGTGGTTCTGCACAGGAAGGCGCTCTCCGACCCTCGGCCCAACTCAACCTGTCCTCTCCTGCTCATCATCCCTCTGATACCCACTCTCAGCCTCTCAGACGTGGGCGCATCAAAATCTCCTCTCCCTCCCTCCCATCATCCCTATTCTCCTGCTCCCCCTCCAGAAAGTGCCTTCAACTCCTCCTCCTCCTCCTCCTCCTCCTCCTCCTCCTCCGCCTCCTCCTCCTCATGATGATCCCCGGATCGCATTCTCCGAACCGCGTCCAGCCGTGGCGACGAGGACCCCACCCCCGAAGGCCAGCTGCCGTTGTCTCGACTCGCCCTCCTCTCACGTTGATCGCCCTGAACGCGCCCCGAACCTCCGGCCCGCGTGCCCCTCTCTTTCGCCCCAGGCGTCCCCGAAGGCCAGCTGCCGTTGACTCAACTCGCCCTCCTCTCATGTTGATCGCCCTGAACGCGCCCCGAACCTCCGGCCCGCGTGCCCCTCTTATTCGCCCCAGGCGTCGCCCACGCTCCGCCGGCGCACGCCCGCGCGGGCTCCCTCAGCAGCAGCCCGCGGCCGCGACGAGCTGGGGCGCCGCGGACCTCGCGGCGGCGGCGCCGCTGCGGGGCCCGGGCACGCGGAGGGCAGGGCGTGGAGCCGAGGCGGGCTCTGGCAGGGGAGCGGGCTCGGAGCGGTGGGACGAGCGCAGCACCCCGAAGCCCTCGCGCTGGTGTAAAACCGCGACGGCAAGTCTTTCGCTCGCCGTTTTCGCCCTCTGCAGGGGGCCCTCGCCAGGCCCCCGGGACCGTCCGAACGGGACCCGGGATGAGAAGCTGGTCCCGAGCAGTTTCAAGATGCCCGCAGCAGCGTCTATATTCTATATGTGTCACTGCTGGGGCCTGTTAGCTCGCGCGCGTGCCGTTCGCATAAATAGCCAAGTGCAAAAAGAAATAGATCGCGAAGCTGACCCGCAACCCCATTCGATAAAAACGAAGGCCGATGCCGCACTATGCAGCGCTGTACCGCCTTCGAACCGGTCCCAGGTAAGGGGTCTAGACCGCTAGCGGTCCAGGCTGTGAACAAAAACGAGGTGTTGGAGGGCAGGGCACGAAGCAGCCCAGTCAAAGGGCGAGAAGCCTCAGAAGGCAGGGGTGCACTCGAGCCCCTGAGCCTGGCAGGCATCTATATATATATATATATATATATATATATGTACATATATATATCTATGTATACATATATATATATATAAACGTAATGTAGATGTATGTTAGCCAGCGTGGATTCCAACCCGCGCGTTGCTAGAACTTCATGTGGCGAAGTCTACGCGGATCAATTGATGTGGTGCTACCTATGTGCTGCAATATACGTTGTATGAAATATGTTGTGCACAATCGGTTGTGCAATCAGCATGGTGCAACGTATGTGATGCAATATACGGCTTCAGTTCGCAAGCGAATGTCCACTCCACTGCTCGCGCAAACATCCCATCCACCCGCCCGCAATTCCGTTTACAAAACCGACGCGGCGGTGATTGCGATTGCGATGGGTGCTTGGTGTTGGCTGGTGCATCTTTGCGGCCGCGCTAGCCCGCACAAGCACGCGCGCGCAGCGGCCAGCTAGTTTGATGCTAGTGACGATGGTGACAACGACGACGGCACGGCCAGAGACGCCGCCGATGTTGATCACGCCGACGACGATGACGGCGTCCATGCGTCGGTGATGAAACGTTGGGCAAGAAAGAATTCGACATGCGCGCGAAGACGACACGCGAGAGTGGTTCGCATGGTATTACTTGACACGGATCGCGCTCACCCAACACGCGCGCAAAGGCGTTGGAATGATTCTAGCATGCGGCGCGAGAGGACCGTTTGGCAAAACTCAATGAAATTGTGGAACAAGCCAACATTTCTTGAAGGATTCGCAACAGCGCGAGCGCAAACTTTCTGAAACTGTTGTTACGAAACCACATGTTTTTGCATAGTTTCGGGACATTTGGTTTTTTTTTAAATCCCTGCGGACCCCATGGTTTTTGAAACATTGCGGCATGCGCGCGCGACGGCGCGCGCGCGTGCAACTTGGCCCTTTCGTTGCCGGGGATTCTTTCGACAGCACGCGCGCCGAAGGCGTTCGAACGATTTGAACATGCGCGCGCAAATCCCGCTTGGTAACATATCATGACAATTTTGGGGAGAACAAAAAAACATGTGTCCTTGACGAAATCGCAACCACACGCGCGCATTTGTTGTTGAAAATCCGTGTCAATCGGTTTTGACATCCGTGCGAACTTGGACGTGCTGGCGGATTCTGGCATGCGCGCGACGACGCGTGCGAACGCACTTCGTCCCATGTTATGCAACCGACTCTTGAAAACTTGTGATTCTCGATAATCGAATGCGCGCGCACAAAAACTTTTCGCAGCTGTTGAGGGGGTCGATACCAGCTGGGCTGGGATCTTATGGATTCATATTAGGGTGGACGACGAACAAGAACCATACATATATATATATATATATATATAATATACTACACACGCACATATATATATATATATATATATATATATACATACGCACGTATAGATTAATTGCACGACGAAGAGGTGGTGCATTGACCCTGGGGCGGGTACAAACGAATTGACACACTCTACGCTTTTACAAACATCCCGCCCACCCTGCGCACAACTTCGTTTGCAAAACCGACACGGCGGCGATTGCGATGAGTGTTTGGCGTTGGTCGGTGCATCTCTGAGGCCGTGCTGGCCCTCGGATGCTCGCGCGCGCAGCGGCCAGTATTTGGCGCGACCGTCGCGGCCGCGGTGGCGCTGACCGCTGGGCACCTCCAAGCGGGCACCTCAGTGGGAGTCGGTGA